TGCCACGAGCTACTAGTAGCTTCTTGCTCCTAGTAGCGATGCCCTTGTTACTTGTAGCTTCTAGCTACTAGTAGTAATGCCAGGAGCTATTAGTAGCTTCTTGTTTCTAGCAGCGATGCACTTGTTACTAGTAGCTTCTAGCTACTTGTAGTATTGCCATGGGCTACTAGTAGCTTCATGCTCCTAGTAGCGATGCCCTTGTTACGATGCCAGGAGCTACTAGTAGCTGCTTGCTCCCTGTAGCCATGCCCGTGCTTCTAGTAGCTTCTAGTCTAGCTACTAGTAGTATTGCCAGGAGCTACTGTAGCTTCTTGCTCCTAGTAGCGATTTCCTTGCTTCTAGCTACTAGTAGTTATGCCAAAGATTAGTAGCTTCTCGCTCCCAGTAGCAGCTTCTAGCTACTAGTAGTAGTGCCAGGAGCTACTGGTAGCTTCTTGCTCCTAGTAGCGGTGCCCTTGTTACTAGTAGCTTCTAGCTACTTGTATTAATGCCAGGAGCTACTAGTAGCTTCTTGCTCCTAGTGGCGATGCCCTTTGTTACTAGTAGCTTCTAGCTACTAGTAGTGATGCCACGAGCTACTAGTAGCTTCTTGCTCCTAGTAGCGATGCCCTTGCGACTTGTAGCTTCTAGCTACTAGTAGTAATGCCAGGAGCTATTAGTAGCTTCTTGCTCCTTGTTACTTGTAGCTTCTAGCTACTAGTAGTAATGCCGGGAGCTAGTAGTAGCTTCTTCCTCCTAGTAGCGATGCCCTTGTTACGATGCCAGGAGCTAGTAGCTGCTTGCTCCTAGTAGTGATGCCCTTGTTACTAGTAGCTTCTAGCTACTAGTAGTAATGCCAGGAGCTACTAGCAGCTCCTTGCTCCTAGTAGCGATGCCCTGGTTCCTAGTAGCGATGCCAGGAGCTACTAGTAGCATCCTTGCTCCTTTCTTGTCCTTTAAAGTGACCATACAGTGTTACAGCAACACGGAACATTGGCCAAGCCGCTTGGTGGATCGCTGCACTTGGCCATTCATCGCCCGGTAAACCCTTGTCGGGAGCCACATCTGGCAGCTCAATCAGGGTCGCCTTCCCCAGCCCTTGGCCCAGAAAAGCATCCCGAGCGCCGCAGTTTTTGGCCAAGCTTGAGCTCAGGAATGTGAAGCAATCATGTCAGCACAGCTTGAGCGTTTTGGAGAGGTGAGTCGTCCCTAAACAGCATCCACAAGGGCCAGCCCAGCAGGTCCTGCTTGATGTTTTGTTCGAGCTGCTTGATCTGATCTTTCAGTTGTTGCACCTCAGAGCGGAACCATTCTTCCGTCTTCCCAAGGGATCCATTCTTCCATCTCTCTTCCAAAAGGAGCGGTCGAACAACTGGTCCATTTGCGAAAAACGGCGGGGCCCTCCGTCACCCTTCGACCCCTGCTGTTCGTCCGGAGAAACCGACATGCCCTCGTAGGGCAGAAACGCCGGAGGGCAGCGTTTGCGAAACGCCCACAGCGCCACCCAAAGAACATGCGTTGATGCACCAAACTTCCCACCAAAAAGTTCCCAACTTAGTGTATGGCATCGATATGTATCGATACTTAGGCCGTCCGTGCCAACCAAACCTAGCCACCAACTCCTGGAATTCATCAACAGTGAACAATTGGACGTGCTGCCCGATGCTTTGTTAGCCCTTCGTTCCAGGTATTGCTGACCCTCTCTCCCCCTCTCTCTGGGCATAGCTCCCCGCCGTTTGTTTACTTGATAAAGGTCGCCGTTCCACCCATCCCGCTTCTTGGCATGTTGCTTTTCGATCACGGAGATCATGGGGAGAGGTTGTCTGCCCACACATGTGGTTTCACACACCAATCAAAATATCGGAATCGACCTAGCAGGTTCGAACATGATTTGATCTTTTTGAGTCCAATCCAGGTAAGTGGCATTGTTGGTGTCAAACATTTCTCTATCAACTTCACGTTCTCCATTCACAACAACCTCGCTTCTCTTCGCCTGGCTTGAAAACACCCCACCCCCACCAATCGCCCCATCAAGAGGATTAAAAAAACCACCGCCCACCCACCGCAGCTTTGTGAGGGACTTTCTGCCCCATATCCATCTTCATCGCTTCAAAGTTGTGCCGCATCTCGTCCAGCTCTTGTTCGGTCCCCTGGCGGTCCGGCGGCGTAAACTGGCCCGCGCCGGCGCGTCGGGTGACCGGCAGAACGAGGCGGAAGGCGGGTTTCCGAAAAGAAATTGAGGTTGGAGCAGTGTGGTGAAGAGACATATATAAATTATATCGTATAGCAGGTTAACCTCTGTCTACTATTCCACCCCATAAAGGGTAGGGGTCCTGGCAGACTCATGTAGACCAAGGTGGGCTCCAAAATGGTGTAAGGTCGATCGGCTGGAAGCCGGGAATTTGGGGTCGTTCTTCATCCGTCAACTCCCAACTGACCCCATCTGTCGCTTCAGACTAGACACTCCAAAACATCCTCTCTCTCTCTCTCTCTCGGCAGGACTGACAGTCGAGTCGAGCTCCGCCACCTGAGAGCTCTGGATGAGGAACAAATTCAACTCCTCCAGCTCTGTGAAGGTGTCCATCAGCTGCTGAGGCTCCTGGCATCTGCCGCTGACATCAACTTCACCAAATGCTTGGATCGCTTGGTGTTGCATATGGGAAGCAGAAAATCCTGTCCTCACCTACCATGACCATCCGTGGCCTACCCAAAATGCGTCGGGTTTCTGCTTGCTATATAACTTCAAACTTAACACCTCTCCCCCCTCTACTCTACTCCTGTTGGTGGGACCAGTCTTGCAGCCAGTGATGCGTTGGTAACGAAACTCCAGGTTTTGAGGGCCAATAGCAAGGACCCAAAAACTCCCACATACCATGCTCTACTGCATCTGTGCCCCATCAACCGCTTCAGAATCGCAGCACTGGGCGTGGAATGGGTGTTTGGTCCAAGAAATGGGTCCCCTTTCCTTTGAAGTCCATTCTTCTGGTCAGCCAGGCCCCTCCGGCCCCTAGGGACGGGTCCTTGAAAAAGAGCTCCGGCTCCTCCTCCGAAGACACCTCCACGTACCTTGGCCGAAGCCGACCGTGTCTGGACAGCCTGGACAGGCAACACTAGTAAATATAAACAAACAGCCTGAAATCATCGTGGAAATTCACAAAAACGGTCATCCAATAGGCCATGCAATCCACTTCCATGATGATTTCAGGGAGTGCAGGCATGAGAATCAGCCCTAATCAGCTACGGGAACACTGGGGCCTAGTGTCACCAAAACGTCCGGCACTGCGAAGATCCAATTCGGAGCGTTGCTTTTGCGCATAGAAGCCATGTCCTTTTCACCCAGATGTGACTGAAAGTTCTCTCCACCGGCTACAGGTGATCGATCTAAGCTGCTCCCCATTGACCTTCCTCTCTTCTTCCTGGGCAGCGCTGCGCATCGCACGAGATCGGTGGCACCGCGCCGCTCCCAAGGGATCGGGGGGAGCCTGGTCGCACCGAGGGGGGCCCTGGACCCTGGGGAGCCTGGGGACCGATGCCTCTCGAACCGATGTCAACCTCCCGGTGGTTTGGTGGGGGTGGTTTCGACGCCCGGTTTTCGTGGATCACCAGAGCCTCCCCAGAGACTTCACCAGTTCAGCGGTCAGAAGACGACACCAACGACACCAGCCTCGCCTCGCGCTTCTTTTGGATCCGCTTCTTTCGCAAGTCCCGCTCCCGTTGCTTTTGCAACAGCTCTTCCTGGCGACCGGACTGAGGCACAAGAAAGGAAGAATGGCCTGGTCAGGGAAGATTGAAGAAGAAACTTCTACACTGCAAAAAAATGAGGGAACCTCGAACAATCCATGTGAATCTACGTCACGTCCCTCTTCCTCTTGGAGGCATTTGGGCCGCCAACCCGACCATATGCAACAGCCGCCAACCATATGCGTGCGGGCCATGAGAATCCTTGACATCAATCCCCGCCGGGTCGAACGACGTTCCTCGCCGTGGCGGTCGAAAACCTGGAGCACGACACGGTGCGGGCTCCGCGGGTGTCGGTCTAGCTCAGGCTTGAGCTATATGGTCTGGAGCAGTCTGCTGTTCAAAACCCAGACTGGTGGGTTCTTAAAAAAGAAAAAGACCTAGGCAGTGCCATCACTTCTACAGTTGCACTACATGGCAGTTGAGATAGCCGTTTAGATGTGCCAACCCCCCCGGGCATCGCAGCCCAGTCCTCGTCTTCCCGGCGCCGAGACTTCTTGCTCTTCTTCCGCAACAGTTCGGCCGCCTGAGGGACCAAGGCTGCCTCCCCCTTGGAAGGAAACAAAGATTGCGCCGCTTGATTTGGGGCACCCTTTGGGCGTTTGGGGAGGGCCTTCTTCCAAAGGCACCTGAACCCTGGATCCGTGTTTGGTCCGGAAGCCAGCTAGAAAGCACGTGGTCCGGAAACCACTTCTTCCAGTGCAAAAGTCACCGGCCCAAGCGACAGGAGTGGGGGATGAGATGGGGGATGCTCGAAGCACGTGGGCGTGCCACGACAAAGACAGAGACCCACGACAAGGGGTTTTGGTCTATGTCCCTTTTTCTGACTGTTTTGTTGGGGGTCTCCCTATTTCAGGGTCTGTCTATTTTTGTACAAGCCCACGTGTCAATATGGGCCAGCAGCAATAACCGATTGGGTGTGTTCTTTGAGGGCCATCGCCCGAGGCAAAGGTTCAGGTGGGCAGTAGATTTGATCAGCTTTTTGTCCCACGGCCTCGGCTTCCTCCTGCGCGAACTTCTCAGACAGCTTCTCGTCTTCGATGGCCAGCTGCTCCTCACAAGCACAGATCCGCAGATCCGCAGACACCACAAAGTGAGTGGGGGGTTTGGATATGATGATGGTGTTTCGTCCATGATGTAGCCCCATGGTTTCGGAAGGGAAAAACGGGAAAACACCCCAGCAGGACCTCCGTGGAAAACACGGCCACACAGCGTTGGGACTCGAAGCATGAGAAGCCACACAGATTTGCCGAGGTGCCAGGATGGGAGCCAGGCGTTCATTCTTCCACCTGGCAGGAGTGGCGTGACCCTGGGATTCCAACAACAATGTGTTTTGTTTTGTTTGTTTCTATTTTTTGAATAGATATGGTCAATGTTTATTTACCAAACCACTGTTTCGCTAAGGATGCTTGACCACAAGAACGATGTCTTACGCTGACAAGCTCTTGGGAATCCATGATAATCCATGTGACTCTTCAGTTTTTGTGTGACCTCAAAACCAGGGGATCAAAAAGGTCACTTTTAAAGAACCAGGTCCACCATTCTTTCAATGGTTTTTTTCAGGCGTAACTGGAGTGAGGTATCCGTCAGTGAGGTATCCGTCGACGGGCTGGTTGTGACGATTTGAGAAGTTCCACCCCTCATGAGCACAAATAGCCAGCGACCTGACATGTTTGTCGAGTTCTATGACAGGGACTTTCCATTGCATCCCTCATGATGCTCCCAGCATCTCATTCGGCTTCCGTGGGCCTCTGCGCTCGTTCCCTCTTCCTTTCTTCCTTCTTCACTTTCCTTAGGGCACTCGGCACGACCGGCGCGACGGCGCTGAAGGCGGCTCGCCGAAGTGGCGCAGCACCGCCCTCAAGGGCGGTGGAGGGCGGGCAACTAAGGTTTCAAGTCAGCTCACTCCTCTCCAACCCTCCCAACCGAAGGCACGTTCCGAACACAGAACCGTCGCCTTTGGGGCCCCGGGGCCCCGCGCTGCTCCTCCTTCCACTCCGCCGGCGTCAACTTCTCCAAGAAGTGCTTCAGCCGCTCCGATTCCACGCGCGCCTCCACCGCCCCGTGTGCCATGGCCGTTCGCGCCGGTGGCGTGGGTCAGGGCCGGGTGGGCCGGGTTGGTGGCGCTGGCCGGGGGAGGAAGGGAGGAAGTGGAGGTTGAGCGAGGGAAGCGGTGAGAAAAGGGGGTTCAAGACTTTCTTGAAGTGAGCCTCACGAGAGGAAAGCCAAAGGGGAGAAATAGTGGTTCAAGACTTTTGGGAGGTCCCGGTCCCTATGATGGGGGGTTCTTGTGGAGAAGCCATGGAACAAAGGCCCCAAGACAAAAGTAGCTCCACCAGTTCGACAAATCATCCCCCACATCGGTTGATCACATCGGCCTCTTTCAACTTACCGGTCTCACTCTGTACTGTCGCGATCTGTTGCTTCAGGTTCTTGATCTTCTGGACCTTGTCCTGCGGTGGGAGCCAGTGGATGGCACAGCCCCTTTGAAGGCGACTGTCCTCCCCAAACGGGTCTGAGTGTACCAAGCCAAAAAGTAAGCAGCCCTACGGGTGTGCCAGACTTTAGCACTGAGACGAGGGCAGGGAGTCTGCTCTGAGGAAGAAATGATGCGATGTTTGAGCAATACACCCCCACGGCGACTGCACAAATCTTGCAAATCTCCAATGGTTTGTTTGTAGCTCTACGGTTTTCAGTCGTTGGAACCACTGCTTACCTACCCCAGGTGCTGGTCTCAACCGCTGTCCTGCTTATTCTTGGCATGTTTCTCACTCTCCTTCGTGGCATGCGATGCCTTAGAGATCCTTTCCTGCCGGCCGCAGAACTCCGGTCAGAATCTGCGCACCATCCGTCCTTTTCTTCACGTAAGGAGGCTGCCCCAACGGCAGGCTATGCGGTAGTTTTCATGTTTTTGTTATATACATATGTTGCAGTATAAAGGGTTGGTTCTGTTGGGTCACTACCATGCTAAAGAGGCGGCGCAAACCAGAATGAGGAAGAAAGAAAACAGTGCTTCGGTCACAAGCCCTAGGCCATCACCCAATGGAATACATGGTCATTGTGCAAAGAATATCGCACAAACAGTAGAGTGGTGACCAGAAGGCAGACTTCGACAGCTCAAAGTTTTGGTTTTAGGTCGGCACACATACAAGTTGCATCCATGCCACATCAAAACCGAGGCTGGCCTGCAAATAGTCCTCGAACTTCTTTGCATCTTCCTGGAGGAAAAAAAATGACAAATTTAAAAAACATCCGCAACCCAACCGCGGCCGCTTCGTGGGGCCCTTCCCCAGAAAAAACAGCCCGTGGCAACATGCAAGCTGTTCAGACCCCAACCCCCTGGAAGTTCTGTTCGCACGCGAAGCGCGGAGCAGCGTGGCGTCCCCGGGCATACGCGGGCGGCATGCGAAAGGACATCCGATGGGTGAACGAATTCGTTGGGAAAAAACACCCTTCGAGATTGAAGCATGTGTCTCTTTGCGCCATTCCCGTTCCCAACCTCAACCAAGGAACTGTCCATGTGAACCCCCTCGAGTTTGCTCACCGAGACGCTCGCTCGTTCTCCGCAGCGTGAACAGATGCCGCCCGCCTCGAGGGTCTGCTGTGAGAAGGCCAAGGCGTCTTCTTTTGCCTTGGCCATCGCATCCAAGCGGACCTCAGGTCCAAGGCTCTGGAGGATGATCTCAGGGCAGCAGATGTCCAAGAAGACAGATCATTGGTCACTCATTTTCGGGAGCCACTCCCAAGACGAGGTGGGCGATCGGCATCGGCTGGGGCATCCACGGCTTCTTCCCGCTTGTTGTCGCAAGCCATGTGCACCAGGAAGGCCTCGCGCTTCTTCTGGATGTACGTCCTGATGTCCTTCTCACCTCAGCTGGGCGACGCCCAGATCGCACCGTGCGGCGATGGGGGAGGCTCCAAAAGCACCACCCTGGCGCCACGAAGGCTCGGAGCTCCGGGGTTGTTCGTTTCGTGGTACTTCGGGCGGCCGCTGGGTGGGTCCCCCGGCTCTTGTGCAGCGGCTCCACCAAGCCCACAGCTGGCTTGGTGGCCACCGTCCTTGGAGAAGAGACGAGAGTTGGTGCGGAGTCCAACACCCAGGTTTGCACGTAGGATCCAACAAAGAACATGGCCTCATGTGGAATCCTCCAAATTTGGACCCTGATGAGGGCGTGTCCGTTCTGTAGTTCATTGTCGGAATCTTCGAGTTGAGGATGGACATGAGGTTCGACTTGCTGATCTTTCAGGGCAGCTGGCAAACATGCCACAACTCTAATTTGCAGATACCATCTTGACCCACACTGTTCCCTGAAGACCTCCAAGGGCACTTGTACACATGAGGCACCCCAAACCGGGAGACACCCCTCGGACCCACCGTAAACCTTTGGGGAACCGATCTGGTCGGACCTGCAGGTTTCTCATCCCCGTCTTCTAGTAGGGATCTGGGTACGTAATGATGAGCTGAGAAGTTCACTTGCGTCACTGGACATGGCCGTAGGAATTTGACAGTGACATCACGCAATGGCTTAGCACCGTTTCCTCCTCTGATCCCACTGGCTCTCTCTCTCTCTTGAGCATCCAGACGTGAGGAAGGTGGGGGGGAGGCCGCTCCTCCTCAAGAACCTGTGACGCAGCAAGTGCCTGCCTTCCGCGTCACATGTGAAGTGCTTCTGGATAAAGGCCTTAGGACCTAGGAGGAGAAATAAGCTCTTTAGCTTCGAGAATCTTTGGGCCATCCGTTGTTCCTTGCTCAGTCTAAGGCATTGAACAGTTTATTTTAATGTTTGCAATGAGCAAAAAACACGGCACATCTAACATGTAGCAGTTCCACCAATCACCCTCCAAACGCCGGTGGAGTTTCCAACCAGCTCTAATTACATCCATTTCTAGGACACAGGGTCTGCTGTCAGTGGAACATCAAGCTCCGAAGGTCCCCTGGCCTCCGCCCATTTGGGGAGGAAAGCGAGGAAGCAAAGACCACCAGAACAAGAGGAAAAGTCGCTGTGACGGAGGCTGCAGATCAAAAGTCCAACAAAAAACGAGAGGAGGCGGATGGATGGTGACCATCAACCGAAAGAAGAAGGCACACGTCACCAAAGACCATGGAAGAAATCCCAGCAAATTCTCACACTCAGAGGCTCAGAAGAGAAACACGGTCAGGCGGCGGAAGCTGCAAAAACCCAGGCTCAGGGAGGAGCTGTCTACGAACCTGGTGCCCCAAAAAAGGAAGGTTGCCAGCATCAGGAAGCCGCCGAACCCAGCGAATAACAGCTGATCAACCCGGGAACAGAGTTCCAGCAACAGCTTCTCCCAAAGGGCTCCTCCCAGAGCACGCGGTGCACACACGGCTTCAGGCCCCCCCTGCCGCCACCACAGCTTTCAGCAATCAAGGGAAAAATTGGATGCGCTGGGCCCTGCATTGTTCCTTTCTGTTTTTTGTGAGCCCTCTTTCCCAGAAGTGAGGGCAGCATGCACACCAGTAAGAAAACCTTTTAGGGCATTGCCCCAAACAATCCCAAAACCCACTGGACACTGCCAGGTCAAACGGGGCCGGGCCATGAAAAAAAAAACAAGCGGGCACTTGCAGTCGGGCGACGGCCACTTCCAAGAGCCACCCTCCTCACAAGGTCACGGTGACAGGAGACTCAGGAGACCAGCCTTTTCGACTTCAGGGCTGAAACCAGCAACTGCCAGCCGCTCAGCCAAGAGGGCTTGACACATTCACCACCGCAAGCCACGACCCCGTGTGATCCCCCCACCAGTCCGCAACGCCATCGCAAAGGGGGCGATACCCATCAGAAGCGGCCAAGGGAAGGCAGTGTTGGCGAAGAAGCACAAAGCGGATACGATGTTGGCAACTCAACACGGTATATGGCCGAAGCGCTTTGCCCACTTAACCAATCGTGTTTCGCCACACACGAGTACACCTGCGGTTTGAAAACCTTCAAAAAATTTGGTGGTTGTGCAAAAAACATTCTGCAACTCAAGTTGCCCACCACCCCCGAAGTCTCACCACAAAACCTGGGGCGACCTGCCTTTGCCTTGGCGTTGGCCAGCGCGAGGCTCACCGACTTGGACACTGGCCTGGGCGATCTGCTTTAGAAAAAGGACGAGTTCCCCCTCGGTGCCGGTGGAGTCTTTGGGGGTCTTTCAGTGCAATTGAGATAACCTCACACTGGGAAGCTGCTACCATCCACTTCCATCCCTCAACCCACCACCAACCAACCACTGACCAGCCACTGACCCACCTGACGTCAGGTCCGCAGGCTTCGTGCGGCCCGAGGGGCGCCATGGGCAGCTCATGGTCGTGCACCTTCCGGATGGCCCCATAGCTGCTAGAGCACGTGGACTTTTCGTGCACGCGCAGCTTCTTCTCCTACCAAGACGCACGGGCCGATGCATTCTTGGATGTCCAACTCATAGAATAGCAGAACACCGCACATGCAGATGTGTGCAACGCAGATGTGACTCATCAGCGTTTTCTGCATGCAGCGGGTTTTTTTCTGCGGGTGGCTCAACCAAAATATGCCCAACATATGAAACTAAACATGTTACTGCAGCTATAACATTGGTCACATAGTTTCTGAGCACAAAGAGGTTTCACCATGGCGATGGACAATGGTATGTTACTGCCACTGTACGATACAGCACACCTCTGCGCATACTGGTTTGACATGCACAAACATTCTGGCGCATTGGTGCGTGTAAAGCGGGTTTGCATCTGTGTCCATCGACCCCCGTGCTTATGGAAAAACACCAACAGGCTGCAAGCCTCGTTTTTAGCCATGTGCAGTCCTAAACACCTCTTAACACTTAGAACAGGGACTGTGGCCCACCTCCCGCGATACCACTCGTTCGGCCAGGTTCTCCTGCAGGCGCTCGTGCTCCGTGCGTTCAGGCGGGGGCGGCTGCAGCCAGAAGCATTCCAACTCTTCGGGCAAGCCTGGGCAGAAGCACGCAGCTCTGGAATCCCCAGTCTGCGTTCCAACAGCTTGCGCGATATGAACAAGTCGCTTGGAGGACCCAAACCTGCCCAGCACGTTTTGACTCAGGAATTTCACATGCTGAACCGTTTTTTTGTTCTTTCCGCGTGTTCGGAGGATCCCCCAGCATGATTACTTAGCTGGGAAATTTATGCCCCATTACATAACAAACAACATCATCATCGCTTCACTCACGCCCTGATCAAGTCACGTCCTTGCATCCAACAATACTGAGGCTGAGGCTAAATGGGTTGGCATGCTCGCCCTCAACCATTTCCTCAACCAAAATCAAATTCACTCTGCAAAAAACCACTTGACTCAACCGCCCTTCTAAGGCACAAAATTGCCCAAATCTGGGCACCCTACTGCTGGGGCGGCACAGCGGTTTGTGGTCACGCTACCGACATCAGAAAAAAATTGGCAGAAGGCATCGCTCAACGATGCAGCTCTGCCCAAATGCTTGAGCCGGGAGCACGGCATTGCATACAATTCGTCCACCGGCGCCGATCGCAACAAGCAACGTAACATGAAAACATGTTAAACGAACAACGCCGTCCCAGGCCCAAAGGTCAAATGCACTAAGGCCTTTCAGGGTCAGGGTGCTAAACGACAAATTTTGCATGATTTTATATATTTTTTGACTTGCTGTTTTGCTTTCTTTTTGGGAGGGGTGGGA